GGGGGCCTGGCTGCCTTGGGCTCGCAGCAGGGAGGCTTGAGGGGCACTTTGGGGTGTCCAGCCCAGAGCCATGCACGATGCCACGCTGCCCTGTGTGCCTGGGAGCCGGGGGCGCAGGACGGGGGGGTCACAGGGAGGTCCCCAGGCCTGGGCGCAGTGGCCGGACTCAGGACCGGAGCAGGATTGGATCCTGCCAGCAGATGGCAGCAGTATCCAGGGGGACACTGGGGACACTGGGGACAGTGCCACATGTCCCTCCTCTCATGCTCTAACCAAGCCGGCCCCTTTGGCATCCCTGCCTGGCCACCTCCAGCACCACATCCCGCTCCTCGTCCCCTCTTCCCTTGCCTGGCTCCTTCCTGCTGTCCCGGCCGCGGTCCCTGCCCAGGGGCCGGGTCCCTTCTGCTCGCTCGTGGCTCGCTCATGGCCCGCTTGTGGCTCGCTGTCCCTTCCTGCTGGCTGAGTGCATGTGGACACTGCAGGGGTGACAGCAGCACCCGCAGCCGAGGAGCGAGCTGGGCTCGACGCTGGAGCAGTCTGCAGCCCCATTTCTGGGTTGGGAGCCAAATGCTCCTGCGTTCAGCCGGTTTCTGGGTGCCCCAGCCTGACTCACTGCCACGGAGCGGTATGGGGTACCCTGATCCCAGGAGGGGAGCAGGGCCCAGTGTGGTGGTTGGTATCTGAGCAGCATCATGCTGCCTCCAGGGAACCCCTTGAAGGGGCCACGAGCATCCCGGTACTGCAAAATTGGAAACGCCCGTCACCTCCTGGTCTCCACCTGCTTCATTCCCTGGGAAAACCCTTCTGCCTGCTCATGAGCAGCCCCAAATCTGCCCCATCCCACGTTCACCAGAGCCCCCAGAAGGAGCCAGGGAGCCCCGTGGTGCCCAGCTGCCAGCCATGAGGCAGTGCTGCAGAGCCCTGCAAGGCTCAGTCCGGGAGCCAACGGCTGACTAACCACCGGCCCGAGACATCCAAGAAACATCAAAACAAGTTCCCTCCCTCCATCTTCCCTCTTGTGCCTTGCCAAGTAGCCATATTTTGTATAGCACACACTATACCGGAGCAGGGAAGAGTCTGTCCCTGCAGTGCCAGCCACGAGCGACGGGTGCTGAGCCGATGCCTGGTAGGGTGCAATCCTGGGGGGGTCTGTACCCCCACCCCTGTGCCCTGCGTGTCCCTGGTGTTCAGAGGGACCCAGAAGGTGCCATGTGGTTACCTCAGTTGGGTGTGGCAAGGTGCTCAGGGCTGCACGCTGTGAGTATCAGCCCGGCTTGCAAGGAGATCCCAAGGGCCATGGAGGTGCAGTGGCTCACCCGAGGGTGCACAGCAGTGGGTGGGAGGGAGCCAACCCAGGGACCCCACCCTGCCCTGGGTTTGACCACCAGCCCACGCTGCCTTTCCTTCCACACAGAGGAGTTTCATGACCCTGGGGACAGGCAGAGGAGGGTGCAGCTGGCTCTGGCATCGCCCTTTCCCCTCTGTACGGCTGCCCCTGGGGAGCGTGGCGGGCGCTGGGAGCTGCCTGGAGCTCCTGCCGCCTCCCGGGTTGCCCAATCTGCCGAGCCCATTTCATCAACATCCTGTGTTTACCTGGCTGCAAAATCCCCACGTTACGAGGGAGGAAGAAGAGGGAGGGGAGCCTCTTCCCCTTCCGCTGCGGGCCCGGGGAACTTTGTTAAGGAGGTGATCCTGGGCTCCCCAGCTCCTCTCTGGCCGGTGCCTTCTGCAGCTCCGTGCTGTGCCATGGCCCACGGTGCCATTTGGGGGAGGACGGGAGAAGAGGGGGTGTCTCAAGCCCTCCCGTGGCAGGGCTGTAAGCCAGGCCTGGATGGTGGCGGGGCTGGATGATGCAAGCTGGCTCACACTGCAGACCCCGGTGTGCACAGGAGCTTTGCTCCTGCCAGTCAGCAGGGACAGGGGACGGGTCCTGCCTCTCCACGCACCACTGCGCCAAGCGGTCGGCAATGCAGCACAGCCCAACATAAACCGTGCTTCCCCTTGCACCGCTGCAAAAGGAAACCCACGGCACGACACCGCCCCGAGCGAGCCGCAGAGAAAGGGAGCTGGTGTGATACTACAGGCAGTTTTCCCGAGAAGAAACCCCGCAGCCCATTCACCTCCGGCTCTATCTGTCCCTGGCAGCGGAGAGCTACCCGCCGAACCGAGTGGCCGTGCAAAGTGTACCGCCTGGCAAAGTGTGCCGCGGGCGGCCCCCGGTGGCCGCCATGCTCTCCTCACACCCACGCACAGCCTGTGCACCATGTGTGGGGCAACTCCTCTTGCCTCATCGGGAAGGCAGCCCCGGTGCTGCCGACTCAGCACGGCCGGGTCTGTGTTTGGCTGGAGATGGAGCCGGAAAGATGAGGTGACGGGGAGGAAGGGGGAGGGAAGATAAAGTGAAGAAGGGAGGAGAAAGGGTGATCCATCACGCCAGCCACCAGCTGCCCTCCAGTGAGCCCCTGGAGACCAGAATAAATGCCCTGCACTGGCACAGCAAGTGGGGCCGGGGTGGGAATGCTGGCCCTGGGCTGCTCGTTGGGAACTGGCTACTCCCCTGGGGTGCCAGCAGTGCAGGGGCACGGAGAGCGAGGTGACGGGGTGATGCACTCTGGCAGCGGGGCTGGCCTGGGGTGGCTGGGGGACACAGCCTGGCTTGAAGCTCACGCCTGGGATGCTGCACGTGGATAAAGCCAGGCACACGGGTCAGCAGCCGGCACTACTGACGCGTGCACCGCGCAGAGGTGTCACATTGCCCACAGCTGCCTGTGTGCGTGGGGACCGGTACCGACGCATGCCCAGGGCACGGGATGCGACGGGGATCCTCTGCCTCTCAAGGAAGTGGGTGCCCTGCTGAGGCCTCACGTGGAGAGGAAGCAAAATCCCGGGGTAGAAAACGCCACGTCAGTGCCCGTAAACAGGAGTTCAGAGTCAGCACTTTCCCCCTGGAGCAGAAGCCACGTTGGTAACTCCTGAGCGTCAGACTTGTCCTTGTGTGTAACCCTACTTCTCTAGAAAGCCCAGCCCACACCGAGGAGCTTGTGTCACCATTTACACGCTGGTGTAACTGAGTACAGAGCATGGCCAGTGCTGGGAGGATCAGACCCCTCTGAACCCCTCATCATCCTGCAGGACCTGTACAAAAGCATTTACAGGAGGGGCAGCCAGCAG